CAGGGAAACGGAAACTAACCAATATGGAGGGGCGAAAAAATGCTGGTAAGTAATGGCGAAGCCCCCAGGGTTGGTTACATAAAATCATTGGGCAGTTATTATAGAGGATTAAAATTCGAGGGACAAATTAATGGAGAATTTAAAACCATCACTTTTGATACGCGTGCTGAAGTTTCCATAATTAGAAGAACATTGTTCAAGTCTCGGGCAATCCAGCCGCTCACTAGAAACCTGTCACTACGAACAGTCACGGGCGAATCGGCACCAGTTCAAGGAGAAGCTATGATTGAGCTTACTTTTGGATCTACCACCGTTAGCCACAGAACATTAGTCGCTGATATAGAAGATTATTTTATTTTGGGAAAGGATTTGATCGGACAACATGGTTTCTCTTCCGATCCTTCCATAAACTTTCTTAAATTTGGTAATGGAGAATTTGTCCTTACGACACAAGAAGAATCTCAAGTCGTTAAGATCCTGGCCACAAACCCAGTGAGGATTCCTGGAAGTACTGAAAAGATCATTTGCGGAAAATTGGAAACAAACCCTGGGTGCTGCGTTGGACTTACACATCATTTTATTGGAGATAAACCAGAAAAATTTATCGTTGGAAAGACTCTAGTAAAAACAAATGGAGACATTATGATAAGAATTGCCAATGTTTCTTCTGAAACAGTAAAAATAAACGAAGGAGATATTACTGGAACTCTCGAAACAGTTAAGCAAATATTGTGATAAGATAAGCGACATTTTGTGAAACCGAAATTGGATACAGACACATTGATGCAGACTTTGAAGAAATTATGGAAACACCTCGATCCAGATAGTCCAGATAGACTTCAAGAAGCCACAGAGATTTGATCTTGGAAGAAGCAGACGTATCTGTGATAGATAATCAAACCGGATGGACCAGTTCAATTCAACACAAAATTGATACTGGCTTGGCACATCCAATTAGACAACCACCTCGACGTATGCCAGTAGCTAGACAACAGGACGTGGAAAAACAAATTGAAGAGGGAATTATTGAAGAGTTGAATAGTCCATGGTCTGCGCTAGTAGTATTGGTTACGAAGAAAGATGGAAGTCTTTGATTTTGTATGGACTACCGTAAGCTTAATGACGTCACCAAGATGGACAGCTTTCCTCTCCCGAGGATAGACGAAACATTAACAACTCTAGCGGGCTCCAAATGGTTTTCCACTTTGGATCTTAAGAGTGGATACTGTCAAATGGCAATACACAAAGATGACAAAGAGGAAACTGCCTTCAGTACCGAAAGCGGGTTATACCAGTTTAACGTGATGCCTTTCGGATTATGTAATGCTCCAGCTACGTTTGAGCGACTGATTCATCTTGTTTTGCGAGGCCTTACAAGGAGAACTTGTCTGAAAAAAGTTTTTGACCGCTTCCGGAAAGCCGGTTTGAAACTCAATCCAATTAAGTATTGTCTATTTTCAAAAGGAAGTGGAATCCTAAGGTCACGTGGTATCTGAAGATGGCATACAAGTTATGGAAGGAAAGATAGATGCTGTCAGGGATTGGCTGCAACCACGCGAAAAACATGAACTGAGGAGTTTTCTAGGATGATGTTCTTATTATCGAAGATTTGTAGAAGGATTCGCTAATATAGCTGCTCCGCTTCATCGATTAACGGAAGAAAAATCAACATTCAATTGGACCCAAGAATGCGATTCCGCTTTTAAAAAATTGAAAGGAGCATTATGTACAAGCCCAGTGTTGTTCTATCCCGATCAGAAGGGCATGTTGATTTTGGATAGAGATGCAAGCAACACCAGTATTGGAGCTGTCCTTTCACAAGAGCATCTCGGAGAGTACTACAGCAGAACCTTATAAAAGCCAGATCGAAACTATTGTGTCACCAGAAGAGAGTTGCTTGCCATAGTAAAATCAGTCGACCATGTCCATAAGTATCTCTACGGACGTAAAGAATTTGGGTTAGTGCCGATGGAAAATCTACTAAGAGCCAACTGGTTATTTCAAAAGATCGAGTAGAAGATGTATTTAAAGAAATACATGATGGAACTTCAAGGGCACATTTTGCAGTTAACAAGACTTTGGACAAAATTCAGGAACGTTTTTACTGGGTTCACTATCATGAAGACGTTAAAAACTGGTGCCGAAAATGCGACATCTGTGCTACCAGTAAAGGCCCTAAACTAAGATCTCGGGGGCCCATGAAACAGTACAACGTCGGTCTCTCATTTGAAAGAATTGCGATAGATGTTGTCGAGCCGTTCCCTGAGTCTGAGCGTGATAGCAAATACATCTTGGTTATCATGGATTACTTCAGTGAATGGCCAGAAGTTTTCGCTATTCCCAATCAAGAACCCATCACTATTGTCCAATTGCTGGTGGACGAAGTTTTCAGTTGTCATGGTGTGCCACTAGATTTGCATTCAGATCAGGGACGAAACTTCGAATCTGCCATCTTTAAGTAAATTTGTGAGATCATGAGCATTCGTAAGACAAGGACAGCACCTTAACATCCACAGTCTGATGTGGATTATTAAAACCATGGAGGAATACCTGACAAAAGTGATCGCAAAGAACCAGCGAGATCGATTTTTGTACGGAACTCAGGTTACCTTGCGACTGATGTTTGGAATACCTAAAGAAAAACGAGAAGAAATTAGAGATTATGCCGATGAAGTAGGGGCACGCCTTCTGGGGATACATGATTTAGCTCGGGAGCATATTCAGCTGGCCAGTGACCGAATGAAGACCAGATATGACTTGAAAGCCAATTCAGCCGAATTTCAAGAAGGTGATTTAGTGTGGCTATATAAATCAGCAAGGAAGAAAGGAGTGTCGTCGAAATTGTCTTCAGCATGGGAAGGACCCTACACAATAATCAAGAGGATTAATGATTTGGTTTATTGAGTTCAGCGCAACACCAAGAGTAAGATGAAAGTTGTACATTTGGAGAGATTCACGAAATATCATGGGCGCGAAGTTGATCGGGACGATCAACCTTAAGAGGAGGGCAGTGTCGCAAAAATCTGGCGGAAGAGCCAGGTTGTACAGAATTAGACAGCTGATTCTAGATTTTACAGTGCTATTCCGCTATTCGGGAAGAAGGGCTATCGCGTTTATTCTGGATTTTACAAGAATAGATTACGGATATATAGAGGCCGGTATTAGTTAGTAGTTTTTAGTTTAATATTGGCTGTGATACGTTTTAGAAAGTGATTATTGTGAAAGTTGTAAAGAGTTAAGTTGTTTGAGTTAATTAGTGGAGTAATTAGAGTCAGAAGTTGTAGTACCGTGGAATAAATTATTGTTGTGTTAACTGGACTCTTATTTTGGAATAAACGAACCCAAGATTTCTGTCACGCATCCCAGAGCCGTGACAATAGGTACAACATCAATTTTGCTACACTATATGGAACAAGACGTGGGGGCTTTCGCCAACTCACAGGCCGTGGCAGAGGCTAACCTTTCTAGTGGAAAGGAAAAAAGAAGAGTTCTATTACGATATAGAGCAATCATATTTCGATCAGAGAAAGATATTTAGTTAGGGGACTTCAATGCCCGACACAGCAGATACTTTGCGCCCTGGACAAGTTTCATTGGCAAGGAGGGCATAAAAAAAATTAATTCAAATGGAAAGCTTCTGGTAAGATATGCCGATCTCTTCATCATAAATACGTACCAAATATTCACTTTTGTCAAAAAAATAAGCTGAAAACAACGTAGCAACACCCAAAATTAAAGCATTGGCTACGTTAATCTGCGCGTTAAGGACAAACGTGTGTCCTGGATGTAACCAATGTATCCATGCTGATGAATGTTGGACAGACCACCAAATGGTCTGATCTAAGCTCTGGTCAATGCTTGGTTCGATGAAATCGATAAAGGTAAAGCAATTCAGAACAAGCAGAAGATTGAGCGCAGAAAAAAGAGGAATGCTGGAAAACGAGAATTTGATAAAGAATTAACACCAAGTAGGTTCTGATAAGATGGCAAAGTTAGCCATTCCAAAAATTTGTGAAATGGCGAACTATGCCATCTCATTAGAACCCTCTTTTGTGAGCTGCTCTTGTTTTTTTTTTGTACTTTCATCTGGGAAATTCTGCGAAACATTCCTAAGACTATACCTACAATACTGTAGAGACAGGACAATTCATTCATAAATAACCATGTAGTTAGTTTAACCCAACATCAACAAGCGCTTAGAATTACTTATCAATGAGTGCAGCCAAACATTTTTTGTGGTGGGGGAACGCTGAAGCCGGCAGGGGTGAGTTCTTTGACGTCAAGCGGTAGCCGTGTGGTTGCCTATCCTTGTCTTGTATAAGAAGTTGGAAAAGAACATTGCATACGTTGGATCTATTTTACTACGCGAAACAATGTGGTATTTATAATGTGCTTCAGTGTTGGAACAAAATAAACAGGCACCTTGTCCGGTCTCTACAGTATTGTAGGTATATAGTCTAATATTTGGACCATCATAGATACGTCTCCCATAAAGGCAGAAAAAGAAATCTGACAAAAGCGCACACTTCTCCTCAGGTTTGTAAAACTGACTGTACCATTTTTATTCCGTATCACTGAATATTCTACTACTGCCAGTTTTAATGTGTGCTCAATTCCATTAGTTTGTTCACTTTTCGAACTTTTTCTCATAGACATGTTTTCTTTTCTATACTTGCGACATACTTAATTCGAAAAGCACCTGTCAATCAACAATATGTGATATATCAAACGATTGTTATGTGCCGACGATCATGGCTCAGCTGATATATTCTTCCATATCAAAACGTTTAAAAAAAGGAATATAATAGAATTTCCTAAACATATAACCGGATATCGGAATACTTTCTAGACGGAATAAATAATTTACATGTCACACAAGAATTTAGGAAAAATTATGTTTGTGTCGCTTGTGTGAAGCCTGATAGACTACTGTGATTACAGATGATATTTTAAATAATTCCGATTTTTGTTTCTCCTACTTAGATTGGAACGATACTTACCTGTATAATTAAATACCGACCCGTCCTCTGTTGAGTTGAAAGTATTACCATAATAAGGAAACACAGGCATTAAGCTTGGATCAGCTGATTGTCCAGATAATGGTCCAGCATAAGGAAGGCTACATGAGAAACAGAAAATAAGTATAGGGATTGGGGTATTGAAAAGTTATCCTAAGCTGCGGGCAGGGAATTCTTATTTCACAAACGACGCGTGACGTCTCTGAAGAGGTAATTTTTTCTATCTTTTTCAGCTTTTCTTGATTTGGCACAAAATTTCCTAATTTTCTATGAAAAAAAAAGTCGCGTGCAGCACAGTACACGTGATAGAGGTGAATACTTATTTATCGATTCGTTGAAGGTGAGTGAGTGAGTGAGAGAGAGAGAGAGAGATGTATTGTACATATTACAGGTATATCAAAATTCACCATCTCTTTCTCTCTCTCTCCCTCATATTCATCATATGCTTCATCTCACTCGCGAGACGAAAATTTTATAAATCGTTTCGTGACGCGACCTTGAAAAATCACTCTCATGCGGCCAAAGAAGTATTCACTTCAAAAAGAGAAGAAAGTGAAGAGTTTGGTTTTTCCTGCTTTTTCACTTTATTGCGATTTTGCAGTAGGAACCTACGTACAGGGTCTTTGATTATATTTAAGCCCATACCTACAGGAAATTATAAATCTAACATACATAACTTGAAAGTTTTTTTTCTATGTTATCATTTAACGGTATCAGAAGAAACAAAATCGCATCGGAAAATGGAAAAACATAGACTACTTCAACTTTTTTTAAATGAATACCCTGTATATTATGCGATAAAATGAAAAATCATTTCTTCCTAATTCCAAATTTAATATAATATATTGATCACATTTTCATGAGCCATTTTTGACATATCTTAGCTTAAATTATGGTTTGGGCTTATAATCAAAGACCCTGTACGAATTTGTCAGAAAAAGACTAATTTTCGAATTTTGTACCAAAAGTAGCACAAAAAAAATAGAAGCTGAATTTATCTAGCTCTATTCTTCAACTTTTTTTTACAGCTAATTATAAAGGCGATTCCTGATAGGTGCGATAAATACACAAACTATACTTTGATTCTCCCAAGAATTTCCCTAATACAAATACCTACCTTGCCTGACCATATACTCCGTATCCAGGCATCGCATTATAAATTCCATATCCTCCCATAGTTCCAAGAGCAGCGGAGCATCCTTGAGGGGAGTAAGCACATGGAGGGATATGTGCATATCCAGGTTGATAGAATGGACCTTGTCTGTATAGTGGTCCTACACTAAAATCATCATAGCACTGCGGTGGACAGCTCTTGTATTGCTTTAAAAATAAACATAATATACATTATATCATATTATCCTACACCTATGTACGAATTAGTTTAGCATGTAACCAGTTCATAAAAAATTTAAAAAAATTAGTTATTATATGAAAACATGGTACAACTTTCCGAAAATAATTATTGAATGATTGCACTAACCTTTACATTCTGATTGTAATAGTGGTTGTAGCAACCTTCACATGCAGCTGGTGGTTGTATGCCACAAGACACGTAAGGCCACGTACTAGTATAGCTACAACGTGGCTGTGGCTGCGGAATATAAGCAGTTTGTGACTGACAATTGGCTGGCCGTCCTGAGAGTCAGAAATTAGATTTTCTTGTCTAGATAAAACATTGACTTACCAAAATTATCTACTGAGCTACAAATTTGCCGATTTTCTTCATGAACGATATTTGCCAAACAGTAGGAGCCGCATTGCGTAGATCTGGTGTGAAAACATCTAGTGAAGGGGTATACTGTTGTTGGAATGCACTGTCTTGGTCCTAGCATCCAGTGAAATAAGATTGGTTTAATGAAACATGGTCATAAGAATCACAACGTAGAAGTAGATTTCACGTGAATAACCGCGCGTTGTGCAATGTATAAAGATATCCTGTCCTGAGCTACTGGGTAAAAAGTTTATACCAAATCTGAACTGATTTTGAAGTAAGATTTTTCATTCTTGCCAAGAAAAATTACAAAATCATCAAACAAAAGTTTGTAATTTTACAAATTACCGCAAAGCATATCAAGTGACAGGATTGTTGCTATCGCCTTCTGTACATTCTTTGAAACGCTCCGTACATCGTACATTTAATAAGGCTGTTGACAGTGCTGTCAGAAATGTCAAAAAAATGCAAGGAAACAAAAAAAAGATGAGATAATAAGAATTTCAAATGATATTTCAAAATAAAATGGTCAAATAGAGTATCTACCTATAGATATAAAAGATATCAAGTCTTCAAAAAAAAAAAAAAAACAATCAAAGATTGCTTTGATTACGAAAGCGTACGTCGCATTATTGTTTCTTTTGGACATGACATTTTGACATAAAAGTTCATTGTCAAAATTAAAGAAAAATATTGCTAAGACATACGTTTAAAAAATCATAGCAATCTTTGATTGTTTTTTTTTGAAGACCCTTCAAGCACATTACAAAAAGTTATTGTAGCAAAGCAACCTGTTCATCAACAAAGCTGAAAATGAGTTCAGTACCACATCGATTTTCATTGACTTTTGAAGTAAAACAAAAGGCCCGTGGACCTTCCAACGCAGGATTAAACAAAAAAGACACTGGCACAAAACTGTTGCAATAGGGGTACAAACTTAATACTTCATATGATGCTAGTTCTTTGCTTGTGAGCATAAGATGTGCGTGTGTTTTGCGCGCATGCCTGTTGAAATCCAATGATGCTGTGTGATAAACCAGCATTTCGGTTGGTAGATCTGTTGCAAAAAAAAAAATATATCTGTTTATTTCATGAGATGATGTAAAAAAATACAAATAAATTCAGTATGCATTTCCCGCAAAGAACAAACGTTGAAATTGCTCCTGTCATGCCACGTCGACTAGATTTCAAATAATGAACAAAGAGGGATATGAAATTATAGAAAAAGATTAATATTTATAATTAAATATTGATTATCCTAACTTACCAATAACGATGCAGCAGTCACTCCCACTTCCACCACCTGAGGAGGTTTTCTGAGAGTCGTGCAAAGTGATATTATTTTTATTTGTGTACGTCAAGTTAATTGGTACATCAACGACATTGGTACTATTCAAGACATTCTTCAGATTGATAATAGTCGTTATATTATGTAAATTTGTATTATTAACTTTAGATTCCTGTGTTGCTGAAGGATTAACGATACTAGCGCCTGCTGTCTGAATAATCCTTTCTGGTAGAAATCTTATATTAGTATTGCTTTCACGTTCTTTTTCCTTTTCTAGAGTCTCGTAGCATGATTTGCGACAAGAGCTTCTACAGTTATAAGTTCGACATTCGGAGTGGCATTGTTTATGACAGCAATGATTTGTATGGCATTGGACGTAGTTTGCACAGCATGAGTTGCAGCAATGATCACACTGACCTTGGAAGAAAAAAGAAAAATTAGTTATATAAAATTAGGTATATTGTCACAACCCCTATACGTTTCGTCCTGGGACGTCACAACAGGAGCGTGACCTGGGGGCGTAGGTGGGGTTCAGGTAGAGAGAAACTCGCTTGGTATAGGTATAATAAGATAATATATTGAATAATAATAATATTACCCTAGAAATAGTATCATGACGTCTCTTCTACGGAGGGACGTATTACTCATAGGCCACTCTGTATTATGTACACTCTGTACACTTGGCGTGTACAAGACTGAAGCTGGGTTTGAGACAGGTCCAGAAGGGCGTTTCCCAATAAAGGTAGTTTGCACTGGACCTAGTCTGCTGCGTTCAATACTCCCAGAAGGAGCTAGGTTTGAGACAGGTCCAGAAGGGCGTTTCCCATTACAGGTAGTTTGCACTGGACCTGGTCTGCTGCGTTCAATACTCCCAGAAGGGCGTTTCTCATTAAAAGTAGTTTGCACCGGCAGGAGACTTAGCTAGAGGGGCTTTTCCCATTTGAGGTACTTTGCATTAGCCTTAGTCTGCCGGTAATGGGTTTCGGCGCGGTATTTATACCAAATAAATGCTGACTCGTCGACACACTTAAGTAAAATTGATGTAGAGAGTGGTATTTACTTAAGTAGTTGACATATGACCCCCCTCTGCTTGTAGAAGAAACATCAAAAACAACAAATAAAAAATGACAGGATACCTAATAGAATAACAATACAATAAAATACAATACAATAAAATAATAAAATACTATACAACCAATAAAATACCATACAATACAAAAAAAATAGAATCAATAAAATACAATATAATACAAAAAAATTAAACATAATACAAAAGCGAAAGGAATATATAGGGTTGATACAATTACTGAAGTTCAGATAAATGGATAAAACTGTGGTGCGCCAGGAAATCCCGTTACGGGTTGGGTTTTGCCGTCTAACCAGATGCGTCTTCTCAATAAAGACAGTAAGTAGTCCAGGTAGGTACCATAACGTTTGTGCTTCCTTGGGGTCCGGTTCTGGCTGGCCAAATCTGTCATAGTGTCTGGTTCCTTGCTTCCAATGTTGATCGGGGATCTTTGGATCAGAGATGCCCCTGCTCAGTCCGACGTAATCCCTGATCCAGGTAGTAGTGGCGTCATTGGTTTCTTGGCCTCGTTTGTCCTCTGGTCGGTTAATGCGATTTCGTGCGTATAAAACAAAAATGATGTGTACCTATTAAAAATAAAATTACTGAAAATGAAAAAATATCGCCCTTTTGCTCTTTTTGATTAGTTATATTCCAGTGCTTAGTCAGACTACTTAATTCCTTGTCTACAGTCGATGCTATTCCTTCCATTCATGTTGAAATCTTACATCTTACTTTCTCTGATTCTTGACACTTCTTGCCTCCCAGTATTGTTGGTTCTAAAGGCTCTTCAAGCCAGGGTACCCTGTATGTTAATGGGATGGACCCTTCGTATGAAATTGTATCTGGTAGAAGTTTCCAGGTTGCGCCGGCGGATACGTCTACCTCCTGGCTTGTGGCGCTATGAGTCAGTATCACCAAAAATCCGGAAATTTATTTAATACTATTTTATAATGTACATGTGGCCACTTTCTTCTACTGCTAATTTTCTTCCTCTTCTCTTACTTCTTCTCTTCGTCTTCTTCTTCTTCTTCGTCTTCTTCATTTTCACTATACTCTTCGATAGGTGCATCTTCTGTCCACGGGTCATTGTAGGGCAGCATTCTACTGACGTGGACCGTATCTTTATTCTTCATTCTTCTTTCGACTACCAATTTTTTGTACTTTCTAATTTACTTCTCCAAGTTTTCTAAGTACCTTATATGGTCCAAACCATCTTAAAAGTAACTTTCCATTTCTTCCAGCCTTTCTGATTGGAATAAACACCTTAACTTTATCTCCAGCTTCAAAGTCCAATTCTCTATGTCTTTCATCAAAACGCCCCTTATCTTTCCCTTGTCTTCTCTGTATATTTTCCACTGCTATAGATTAGGAGTGCCTTTTCCCTGATTTGTAGTACGTCCGTCGAAAGTGGAAAAACCAACAAAAAATGCAATAATTAAAAACGCCTTCGCCACTATATCCGGAATCTTCTAATTCTTCTAAGCTGGCATAGGATTTTTGTCTTATCCGTGTTTAATTTTAGACCAATGCTTTCGTATGCATGCTTAAATGCATTTAAATAATTTCGTAGGTATTTCTCGGAGTTTGCTAGGACAGCATTATCATCAGCCTATGGAAAATCACAGACAGTTTTTGTGGAAGGACAGCGCTCGGGAGAGTGGCTTTCATGTTTTCATGCAGTAAACCAAGTATGTTGATGAATTTAGGCGGAGATCTGAGCAAAGCCAATATTTTTCAAAGAGCGACTCGATTAACAGAATCAAACGCTTTGAATAGGTCTACTTATAACTTCCATATGGTTTGTTTTGCTCTTTTAATTTTTCTTGCATTTGTCTTGCATTCAAGAACGTGTTTGCTGTCCCTCGGTTAGGTCCAAAACCATAAATACAAGGAAATCCATCTAACCCAGCAGATTTATTATTCTTTAGGCAAGATCGTCACTCAGATGGTTTTGAATGGGTTCAGTTGATAGAAGCGAGATTTTTAAGTATCTGGGTTCCATCTCTAGATCTGAGGGGAATTGAAACTTTCGTGGAGGGACCAGTAGTTGCTTTTGTGGCGATGGAAAGGCTCTGGTGTTGTTAGTGGCTGCTAAATATTCCAATTGACTTCGTTGTCCGCCATATTTCTGTCCTTCCTTGTACTTCAGCCTTTGCTTTAAGATAGGTTTGTTTCGTGCGAGCTAAATTTGAGTTGTTTTGCCAGATATTGTAGGCTTTCCTCTTCTGATTAATAACTTCTGATTTTTTTTTGATTTTTTCCATCGCACCAATATTGATGTTTCCTTGTTATAAAGCACGTTGATTCTTCGCATCAGGCCGGCATAGATGTTATAAGAATCGACCAGTTCAATATCGACGGGATATTCAGCAGAAAATTTTTCATTCAGTAGAAAATGGAACTTTTTTTCGGTGTCTCCATCTTTCAGTCGCGCAGTATTTAACCTGCGTTGTGGTCGTTGCCTTTGTTTACATGGTTCTGGTGCTACATGCAGAGTTAACAGAACGGATTATTCGGTGATCAGTCCAACAGTCATCAGCATGGATTATAATAGCTCTGGTAACTTTCACGTCACGTTGGACTCTGCAGCGCATAATAACGTAGTCAATGAGCTGCCAGTGCTTTGATCTTGGATATTGCCGTGTTTTTTTTTCCAGCTTATTCTCTAGACGAGAGTAGGTATTTGTGATAACGAGGTCATGCTCTGAGCATTTGATCAGTAGAAATATTCCATTTTGAGTTACTTTTGCCCATACCCTTCTTG